TGTTTTTCTCTTCGCTTCTTATTACTCCATTATCTTGTGGCATTTCTTGATGCCTTCCTAGATAATCTGATTTTCTCTCTGGTAGTTTCACTATCTGATGGTCTGCCATTTTAAAATGACTAATAGAGGTTTAGGTTAATTTTATTCAGCCTACACAGATGTCTGAATTTATTTCTTTACGAGGAATCAAATTCTTCTAGATACCTTAGCTATTCTGTTTGTGAGTGCCTGTTTTTTTTCTGTTAATACCTGTATTCTGTCATGAGATTTCTTCGAGGGTCTGTTGTAGCCTTTCAATCACAGATTTTGACTGTCTTTTTTTTTTTGGTAATTGATTTTCTCTTTGTGATGTTTTTATATATTATTATTTTTCAATTCATTTTCTCTGTGTCCGGTCTAGAGTCTATTTAAAATTCTATGTTGATACATTTCATTTTCAAATCTGCTAGTATTATTCTCTATCTTTTCCTGTCATAATTTATTCTGCTTATCATATCTGTTTCTATATAAATAATATATCCACATATTGATATAGCTATTTTTGTTCATTGTAGAGATATTTTCTGTTTATTTTTCTCTTTGAGTATCTCAAAATACTTACTCTAAACTTTTTTAGACATATATCTCATTTTCATTTAATCTTGAGTAAATTCATTTTATAATGATTGATTTTTGAAGGCTGAGCTTATTAGAGATATTGTTTGTCATGCATTTTAGACTTTTGGTTACAATGTCATCTTGGATAGGGGTTTTCAACTTTATTTCTGACTTTGTGTTTACTTGTCACTATTTATATGTAGTGCTACATGCACTTCAGCCCATCCCATAACTCCCAGAACTCTTGGTTCAGAAATACATCTTATATTTGTTTTTTTGTGGCATTCTATCTCACCACGATATTAGATTTTTATCAGATTCAGTCTCTAAGCCAGCCAGAGGCTCGGCTTGATTACCATGCCTATGTCCTCTCATCTCTCCAGGCACACAACTTCATTTAAGTCTCCATCCTAGGAAGCAAGCTGCAGCAATGCTCTTTTCTTTTTTGTTAGTTCTCCTTTCTAAAGCAAAGGGGTCCCAGTCCAGTTTCTGGTTGCCAGCAATGAGCCTGGCTGCAGTCCCCAAGTTTGTGTGAGGCAGTTTTATTCCCCATTAAAACTAAGATCTGAATACCTGTTCATGTCTACTGGCTTCCATAGCCATCCCAATCGGGCATACAGCTTCAACCCAGCTCACCATTTGTTAGTTTGTTTATTTTGTTTGTTATAAGACTATATCCCTCTCATTTTATCCTAAAATATTTTATCATCACCTCTACGCATTTTTAGCAATGGACAGAGGATTCAAAGTGTGAACTTAAAAGCCCATCTTTTTTCCTTAGGCCTTCTTAATGACATTAGAGTCAGCCATTGTGTGAATACACTGTAATTATTGTTATTAAATTATTAAGTTATTGCCTACTGATGGACAATGTGTTTTTTCTAGCTTCTTTACTATTAAACACAATCTGCATTGAAAATCTTTGTACACTTCTGCTTTCTTTACACACATTTGTAGAAGTGAGAAGGCTGAGTCAAAATTATGTTCCTACCAAAGCTGGAGGGCCTATTTTCCCCATAATCTTGCCATCACTCTATAAGATTCCCAGTCTGAAGAAATGGCATTGCTGAATTTCTTCCCCATGGGAGGTAGACTTGAAATTTTCTCCCTTGATTTCCCAACTATAACTGCAATTTGTTGGTCTAGGATATGAGAGACCAAATATGGGATAGTTTAGTTCTTTTTCAAAGTTTGTCCTTTGAGATTAGAAATGACAGCGGTTGCGTTGTACTTATATTTAATTTAGTCTTATTCTCTTCTTTATTGGAATAAAAAAACATAAAATGTGCTTACATTTTTACACTAATAGATGACAACTTATACATAAAAGAAAGGGCTTGTAAGCACCAAATGTAAACTGATTACCTAGAAAACTTTTAAATGTTCAAGCTAGCATTTTGGAAATCTTTGAAGAATATATATGAACTCTGAATTCAGTATCATGGGCAATTTAATGGTCTTTTAGTTTGCACAGCTGAAAATTTAATTAAAGCAAACAATATCAAAAAGATTATAGATGTGTACATATTTTTAATCCACTGCTTTTATTAGTGATTCACTGTAATGTCTGCAATATTCATAAATATTCATAAATACATATGTATATGTGAATGTGGATTATGATTCCTCAAATAATCTGATACAATGTGGTTTACTGTATTTAAGCAACAGATTAAATTAGAATGGGTAAATTCACCTTTCACATTTCCCTTTTATTTTTTATTTATTTATTTATTCATGTGTGTGAGAACATTTAAGTTCTACTCTTAGAAAATTTCAGTTAAAATGCAGTATTATCAACTAGTTACCATGTGATACACATTTTTCTCTCAGTGCAACATGGGTTTTAATGCAGTTCTGCTTTTTTACATTTAATTTATGTTTGCATGATGACTATGAGATATGAACATCTGATGTTTATTGACATCATTGAGTGAATAATCCAAATCCAAATTCTACATACATGAAAGTGTCTCTCAGAATCCAGCTCTCAAAGATAGCCAGTGCATGGGATCAAAATATACTAACCCCAAATAAACCACTGAAGATAAGGATTATTTTGAGTTGAAGGCATTTGAGATTCAACAGGAGAAAGAAGCCATCCTGTAGCTTCCCTTATCTGACTAAAAGCATAACCTTCTGAGAAATGAGGACTGCCATAAATCTTTTCCCAAGGAAGTTTTATGTACATGAAGATGAAGCAAAGTCAGTGCCAGAATGAACCTGCACAAACTATTAACTAGCCCTTATCTTCCATTAGCTTTCTCATATACATACTTTCCCATAATTTGCCATCACTGTAAACTCAAAGTTATTTTCCTTTGGCTTGTCCCTTCTCTAAAAATGTGCTGTTTTTGCTAAGATGCTTATGTGAGCCTGAGTTCTAACCACCCCTGGGAGTTACTAATCACTGAATTCTCCCACATAGTATGCATGATATATGTGTTAATAAATTTGTTTTTTTGTTTTCTTTACTTATCTTTTTATTATCTATTAATTTACAGCACTCAGCTAATGAATCTAAGATGGGTAGAAGAAAAGTTTTTGTTTTGTCTTTTCCTCCAAACATCAACCATCCTCATCATACTTCAGATTTATTTTTAAGTTGAGGTATATTCAGAGGAAGACGTTTCATAAGAATTCACTGCAAAATATCAATACACACATATAAGATAAATCATAAGCACTAGGAATTCCCTATTAACTTTACTTAACCCAGTTATTTATGTTTTCTCAACATATATTGTGTCATAGTTCAAATCAGTTTTTACTAATATACAGCTATTAGAAATTACTTTGTAACACAGTTATTTATAATTTCTTTCTTCATAAAGAAATTGCAGCTTGATTATGTTTCACCTCTAAATTTGCTAAAACTTGATAACATATTCAGTTAATTTTAGCTCAGGGTTTTCCATGTCAATTTGTATTTTGTTTTACTATATAGCTTTGCCAGTTCTTTATTCATATACTTGTTAAAGGTTGTTATCTGATATAGTTCAACATTAGCCTAATCAAGCAAATGCCAGAAGCAACATGGGAAAAAATATGCATGAATATATATGTTTAGAATAATGGTCACCTGAGTCAAATAACTGGCTCTTTGGAATTAAAATTGGCCTGTTAAGTAAACTTGTTTATTTAGTCAGTAGTTCATTCATTTTAATTAATTATTCACCTATTAATCCAGTTTAAAATAAATTTTCATACAAACCTTCTAAACTTAAAATCACATTTTTCCAACCAATAACCCCAAAACTAATATTCTTCATATAACAATTGAAAAACTGCAGAAATTAAAAAATATTGTTGGAAAAATAACCAATTTGAAAATGCAGCTCCCTCAGTAAGAAGCCATGTTCACTCATATTTATTTATTTATTTCTCTTTTGAATACTTAATTGTAAACAGGAAGTATGTAAAGAAAAAAACAATTCACTTTTATATCTTTTCATATCTTTAAATGCCCATAGGCCATGTGGTTTCCAGAGTGTTTGCTTACTCACAGCTGTGATAACTTGTTTCTACCTTTTGGTTGAAATACCTAATAAGGGGCAGAATGAATCACTAAGAGCTCATGATTAAGCAATTCAAAAGCAATTTCACATTAAAAAGAAACCCCAGAGATGATTCCAGACTACACCCTGAAATCTATAGAAAAGTCTTTCATTGGGTTACTTGGATGATGATTCAAAGCATTTCACAAATTATACTAAGATAGCTCATTGTATTTTTTTTCCTTGAATTTCAGCTCATAATCTGATATAGAAAGTTAGTTTATCATGTTAAGTGGAAGGTATTATATATAGAAAAACAAAATGGAAACATCATAATAATAGAATAACTTCATAAAAAATAATTAAAAGTCTTAGTGACTCTCAAGACAAATCTGTTCTTTGAATGACAGTCATCACCCTCATCCCAATGGGATCTAACAATAGCATAGTAAATTTTAGGAAACTAGTTGAAATAAATATATGTAATTTTGCTTTTACTTTCTAGTCTGTGGGTTTATCACAGTCAACCCTTTCTGGACTCACTGAAAATCCAGACTGATTGGTTTCAAATACCAATTCTGCCATGCTGTCTCTGTGACATGGCAGATTAAGACTTCTTTTTTCTTTTTTTAACATGAGTAAGTTAGAAACGTCTCTGGGCCTCAGTTTTCTCATTGTGAATTGGGATGATGAAATGAATTCTTAGACATTCTTACAACCATACCAGGCCCTTGGATAGTCCTCAATAAATGTTAGCAATCACTATGGTTCTATATAGAACATGAGCAAACCTACTTGAAACACAAGAATACTGTTTATAAAGGTGAGATATGGATTAAGGATGAGCCAAAGAGATTCTACATCCAGGAAGCCAAAAGCAGAAGCTGAACACAATGTTCCTCTTACCTGTGCTCCGACAGGAAAATTTGGTCTTGTGATCACACAATCGTAAGGTACCATCACAGCCTTTTTCATCACTACCATCTTCACAATCTTTTTCCCCATCACAGCGCCACAGACCAGGAATGCAATTTCCATCAGGATGGCATCGAAATTCATCCCCATTACAACCAGCAGGAGAACGGATCTCTTGAATTGAAACAAGGGGGAGAGAGGCAGAGGCAGGGGTTGAGGGGAGAGAGGAGAGAAATCACGATTTTACTTGATGATAATATTTTTCAATTTTTTTTCTTTCTCTAGGCATTATTACAATGCCAGAGAGAATATGTTTTTACTTTAGTTGTTTAATAGCTGTAATACTCTTTTGTATTTTCAAATTCATTCTAGAAATGTTAATAATCATAGAAAATGATGTTTCTTGCCTTCCACAGAATTTCTGAAAGTACCAGATGCATTAGAAAAAGGGAAAGAGAAAGTAAGATAATACATGGGTATTTCGTTGCAACTTTAATGAGTATCTTGAGAATGAGATCATTGAAGGGCTTTTTTCTATGACATATGAGAGAGATTTCACATTCTGCTCTAAATGTTAAGACTTTGTTTACTTTTTTGACACATCTTTAGATATTTTCCTTCAGACTATTAAGAAGTAAATAACCAAAAAATAGTAGCTTTCTAACAAAATCTTTGAAGAATAACATCCACATTTTTAAAAACAAACAAAAAGCCAGTTAATAAACAAATTTTTCAGAACATAAGATTTCAGTTCAAGAATCAGAGTATTTAATGAGGTACTATGCATTCATATTCAATTTATCAATTAATAATTCATTCAGTGCACAGATAACACTATTTCTCAAAACTGATGACCAATATATACGTTAAATTCTGCAGGTAAGCATAAGCAAGGATAAGGAAATACAAATGTGGATATGTATGCTTTACAGCATAGCTGTTGAAAAATATGGCCATTCTGCAGTATTATTAATAATACTAATATCTAATATTATGATATATATTAAGCAGAATCTCTCAGTTTCGTTGTAAAATATTTTAATATATATTTTCCCAGGCTGGAGTTTTAATGAAACAAATTTATTGTGTATATTACATAACCATATGCAGCAATTAATCTACATTAGAACTATAACAGCAATTACCCTGTATCATTATGATCAGTTTGAAGCAAGTTCATGTGAGTTACCCATTGCTTAATAAGCTGGTATGGTAAGTAAGGACTGTGTGGTTATGAGGTAAGATTAGATTCACTTAAGGTCAAAGCTAATAATAGCACTTTTAATAACTAAGGCAGCTACTTAATCTTTTGATATGTTTGCTCACCTTGAAAGTGGAGAGTGCAGGATTGTTGTGAGGACTAAATGGATAGCTGTAAATGATTACATTTTTAACCACAAAATTTTGTCGCTATTATTCATTTCCTGACTTTTTCTTCTTTAAAGACTTTCAACAACTATAATATATCAGATAAAATGATATTATAAAGATGCACAGAAAATTTGCCTCTACTTTCCAAGCATTTCTAGAGCAGTAGAGCTAAAATAATACCAACAAAAGCAAAAAAGAAAGATAAAAGGATCCCCATAGAAGCAAGAATAAAGTTCTTTTGGTAGAAAATAGATGTTTTCCAATTCACAGAAAACCTGTAAGGCGAATTTTCAAAAGTAACCATTGCTAAGAACACTTGTAATTATCACACCCAGTTGACAGATAAGCCACGGAGTTTAGGATGGCTCCAAAGTTCCTTCCAAAAACAGAGCCTTTCTAGTTGTCCTGTCCTAATTATCCAAATCATTCGGTTTGGACATACAGAATCTTCTCAATTAAACAAAATATTTGCATGTGCACATACGTTCGATAAAGATGGTAGTCTCTACATTCAGAAGGTGTATGTGGAATGTGTTAGAGCTACTCCCTTACATATTTAATTTAGTATCTGCGGAGTGACCTCTTCAGCAGTGCAGACTAACCACTAGAGTGGGAAAGAATGATGGGGCCAGTTTCATAAACAAGGTACTGTGAAGTTTTCAAACCCAGGATCTTTTTAAAGGAAACTTGACAATCCTATGGGATTGCAGCATGCAGGAAGAGGAAAGGAGACAAACCAAACGGCACTCCAAACCCCACTCAGTTCTCCAAGGAAATCTATGGAAAAGGACAGCTTCCAAGCAGCAGTGAAATGGACTCTGGTTCTTTTCCTGCTGCATAACCTTCCTTGAAAATGAAGTAAAACAAACTGGCTCAGTTGAATTTTGTAACCAGTAGTATGAGCTCAACCAATAACATATAAAAGTTGTATTTCAGGTAACTGTCACTCAGTGATTCCAAAGACTTACTAAAAGATGGAGGGTGTATTGATTTTCTACATTCTATGAAGTAAGACTTGAAGACTTGGCAGCTCATATGTTGAATCTGTCCGTCAGTTTGTTTAATTTGGAAAACACTATTGATCTTTTAAAAATCTGAAGATTTCCTATAAAAAAATCTAGATTTTCTAGTTTCTTGAAAAGAAGATTCTTGGGCTAACATCCTTGCCAGGGTCACAAAGTTAGCTGCTTTATATATGGTGGAATGAATTGCACTAAGACCTTCTTATTATAAGACAAACATACTCATTTCTATTGACTATTTTCTAGTGGAATTTTTTTTCTTTCCCCTGGTGGATGGAGGCAATAGGGCAACTGCTAACTATGTTTTCTTTGGGTCCTAAATCTACTTCTTATAAGTTGTAAGAAAAATTTTATTTCATTCTTGCTTCAGTATTAATACTAATTTTATTCTTGGGTGCAAATTAGTTTTTCTTCTTACCGAGTCCTTTATATGGATATCTGTGAAAAATTCCAAAATCCATCATGTTTCTCTCTTTGCAATAGCTTCTTAGAATTTAGAGCTAAATGTATGGATTCTTTTCCATATGACTTTGGACCAATCTCATCCTTAGATATATTTGCATTACTAATCCTTACTCTGCCTTTGTTTATGTCCTTCTTCTTTATAACCTTTAATCTTTCCAAGTTATAGGTTAGATTATTTTTTGGAGATGATCAGAAGACTAAGTAAATAAATAAACAGGATAGTGATAGGCAAGGGCATTTTGAGAAGAAATAACATTGTATATTTAGAATGACCTAATTTAGGAATCATTTTATTAGCTTAAATGAAATTAAATAGTATATACAAAATTCTGTACCACAATTCCATTCAGCTCCCCATCTTTTACTTCTTCAGGAACCATGCTGCCTCAAAGATGTCAAAAATAATGGAGGTAATTCCATGTTCTATTATTGTTAAAAGTAATACTTTGATATTTTAAACATATTTTTTTATTTAGTTTCCAAGATCTAGTTGTTAAAGTTATATTCTTCAACCATGAACTCAGTGACCAAATGGGAAATTCTTAAAAAGAAAACTTAAGTAAATTCAGAAATCTAATAGATCAAACTGATTAAAAAAGAGACTTGCAAAGGTAAACTGTTGCTTCCAGAGACAAGTTCGCTTCTCCTGATCCCAGTGGTATGGCAAGTTTACGTATGACTCCTGGTCTTTTAGCTTAATGTTACTTACAGCTGAAAATAAGTTGTAGACACAGATAAAAGCAGAATCTATGAGAGAGTATGCTGTTACTGTCTATGCATTTTATTTTATTCCATTTGTATTTTCTTTGCTCGGAATTATTTGGTTTATCTATTTATGCTTCATAAGTGAATCTACTCATTTGTTTTCTTATTCTAAATAAACATTTATCCTATAAATTCAACACAAATGTGATGTTTCCCTGGGGCTTTTCTCTTTTCCTTTTTCTTAAACTACCCATATCTCAACATCTGTGAACTGATATACTATCCATTAAGCAGCCCCACAAACAACCAGATCATAATAATTTTAAAATGAGGGTGCAGCCTGGAGAACTGCAAGACACCATTATAAGCATTCAATTCTAAAGGGCAAAACAGTCCCCCTCTTAGTGCTCACACAGCCACTAGTGCACACCTCCTGGTCGTGGCTACATTTATTCTCCCTAGCCTGGAATGTCTTCTGTTTTCACTCCACCTAGTAATGTCCATAATTTTCTCTCAGATTCACTTTACTTAAGAAAAAATTTAAAAAAGCTATCTAGAATTAGGTATCTTACTCTGGTGTCTTTAGAATTAGGAAATGCATGAATAAGTTTTAGAGATTTATAAAATCTCAGAAATTATATATGATGCTTTATGTTTATACACTTTTTTTTTTTACCTTAAGAAGGGATTCAGAGATTTTCTAGACTCTGACTGAACATTCCAAGAGGAATGCCAAGGCCACTGTACATGTCCCTGTTTCTTTAACTCCCACTCCATAACCTTGCATGCATATGGTAGTTTATAAGGCACTCAGCTGTGTTTATGCCTTAAATTAATTATATAATGATGGATTAAAATCCAGTCAAAAAAGGAGCAGCATGTGTTTTTAATTTTGATTAAAAATAAACAAAATGAGAGTTGAGCCCACATAATTAAATTTTAGAGACTACTTTCTTTACTAATGTACCATTATAATCTGCTTGTAAGGTTTTTCTCATGAAGAGGCTCAAAAATTAAAAAAAAAAGGAATTAGCTCATATAATAATCTTGAAACATCTATAAATTCAATTATTTCTCGTATTTAAAGCATTGTTGTTCAGCTCATTTCTTTTCTAATAAAATTTAATATTTGTTTTATTCTGTTGTAAAGTCATGGTAAAATTTGGTATTTTATGAAAAGATCAATAAATTGCAAGTTTTGCATAAGGCAGTCTAGCCTTCTTGGGTTTGTTTCTTTACCCACTGCCATCCACCAAAAAAAGAAAGAAATTAGAAAATTTGGTTAATGTTACCCATGATCACACATTTAGTTAGTGGCAGAGAGCCACCGAATTAGTTTCATAAACTTTAAAATGAAAATATTGGCCTCTGTGATTCCTTGATTTGGTCTCTCAACATATACATATTGCAATGTGCCAGATATTTTGCCAAGTACTAGGATAGAGCAGTGAACAAGAGAGAGACTTTATTGTTTTCACAGAACTTACATGAGGGGATAAGGAACATGCAAGCATTTAATAAATAATCATGCAAGTATATAAACTGGATTAGTCTAGAAAGTATTAAATGCTAGGAAAAAAATAAATCAGAGTAATGCTGTAGAGGAAGGAA